AACAACGTCCTCCACAACTAGACTGAAGAACAAAAAACGACAGCAACTTGTCTGTTCCCCCTCCCCAATTCCCCAGCTCTGTTCCCATCCCCCCCAATTCCCCAATTAAAAAATCTAAAAAAAAAAAAAAAAAGAAAGAGCATCTCAAATGTAACGTGTCCATGTCTGACCTCACCAAACCTGCACCGCCCCAGGTTGTCCCCAACGCAGAAAAGGGTACCACCGTGCTGGGAATGGGCTCATGCTAGGAGCCTAGGAGTCACCCTTCACTCCTCCATTTCTCTCTCCTTCTACCTGTATCACTGTCAAGACCTACCACCTTCACTTCCCACACGCATCTCAGTTCCATCTACTTCTTTCCATCTCCTCTGCCTCTACCACAATCTAGGACAACAACACCCTTCACCTGGCCTATTATCACACCCTCCCATGTGGGCTCCCTGTATCCACTCTTGCCATTGAGAGTTGTTGTTTTTCTTTAATTGAGGAACAGTATGTTTTTCCAGGACCCATCAGCTCCAAGTCAAGTAGTTGTTTCAGTCTAGTTGTGGAGGGCGCATTTCCATGGCCCATGTGGGAATCAAACTGGCAACCTTGGCGTTATGAGCACTGCACCCTAACCAACTGAGCTAACCTCCCCCCACCCACCACCACTGAGAGCTTTTAGAACTGCAAATTTGATCATGTCATTCAATCTCAATCTCTCTCTTCCTCATGAACAAAGCCCAGTGAATCTCTGACTAATCGAATGTGCTAGAAGTAGTCATGTGCCAGTTCTCTCTCTTTCTCTCTCTCTCTCTCTCTCTCTCTCTCTCTCTCTCTCTCTCTCACACACACACACACACACACACACACACACACACACACACATGCTTTCAATCATTCTTAGGACAAAATCAGAAATCACTAGCAGAAGTGGTATTTAGAGCCATGAGAGTGGAAAACTCTACCCATAGCCAGGAAGGCTGTCCTGTGGAGGTGACATCTGTGGTGCCCCTGAGTGCACAAGTAGGCTTTGTTGGGTGACAATGGCGAGGGGATTCCGATCAGAGGAAACAGTACATACAGAGGCATAGAGTGGTAAACGAGCACAAGAAGTGAGAGATTCGTCTTGTGTAACCAAAGCATTATTTATGGTAATAAAAACAACAGAAATAAGTCATAGCTAGCTTTATGGAACACGGGCACTTTGCATACTATTTCAGGTTAGACTCCCTTGAAGTACAGCCTGAGATGTGGATTCCTACGCGAGTGACTCACTGAGAAGTGAGTCGGGCAGGAGAAGGGAAGGGAAGCCGCACAGGGCACAGGTAGGAGCAGAGCAAGGATCTGGAGTTGGCTGGAGCTCCAGGGGGAGTTACAGGGTTTATTCCCAGCTTGAGACAAGGGGCCTGGCCTTCCAGACCACCCAACCCCCACCCCACACATACACACACCCTCCACAGCCTCTAATCATGGGTCCCATTTGGTAGAGGCCAGTTCTCTGGAGAAGGGGCAGCTGCGAATAGTTAGCAGCAACAGTGCATGAGGCTACAGCTGGAAGATGGGTGCCTTGGCCTGGTGAAGGGAAACTGCGGGAAGCAACCACAGAACCCACAATACACACCTCACAACACCCTCAGGGGCAGGCATCCCGCTTCCCATTCGGCAGGAAGCTGACATAACTCGCACAAGGGCATCTGGCTGGGATGTGGAAGAGCTGGAATTTGAATCCAGGTCTGCTGAGACCCCAGCCCAGTTCCTTTCCTCTTCACCCTCATCCCAGGAAGAGGGAGACACTTTCCAAGTCATGTAACCAGGAAACATCAACCCCGGTAACTCCTGGTCAGGGTTTGCTCCCAAAAGGGACAGAGCTGATCTCCACCAGGCCCTCCGCCCCCAGGAGCTGCAAATGGGCCAGAAGCCATGCCTGAGAACTGCATCTCGTCTCAGACGACCCAGGCAAGCCCCGTACAAAAGAAACGCAAGGTCCAGGGAAGGGGAATATAGTGATAATGTGTGAAAGCTAAGGCAGCTAAGAAGGAATTTTGTGGAGACTTGCAAAAACCAAAGAATGGAGTGTGCATTTGCAAAAGAAACCTCAAGCCCAAAAGAGCTGGGTTGAAAGTTTTTGAAAGGGGACACAGTTGGCTGATATATATCCCATAGGAAACTCTGTCTCCGCTGCAGTTTCTAAATAAAGAAGATGATGTTTCAGGAGAAGGTTACATTAAAGAGCAGGTTCTCCACATGATGAAAATGGATGTTCTGGAAGCAGATGTCTCCCAGAAATGATTTCCGGCTTACATCCAGAGTTTTGCACATAATAGGTACCCAATAAACATTTTCTGAATGGGTGAGCCTTGTATCTGATGGTATTTATAAAATGTACTCTATGCCATTTAGAGTGTTTATCCTCTGAAGCTTCTATTGGCTATGAGATCTTCATTTTGCCTGCATGTGTATGTCAATCCTTTAGTAATCAGAGCAATATAATTCCTGCAGTTGACGAGGAAACACACCATGATAGGGTGTTTGTGTGTGTGGTGTGTGTGGGTGTGTGTGTTCAAGCAAGCACTCCAGGGAAAAGACTGAAAGGAAACATACAGAATGTTTGCCATTAAGAACCAGAGGCCAGTGGAGCCCCACCAAGCCACTGGGAGCTTTAGGTCCTGGAAGTTCTTCAGAAAAGCCAGCATGAACAACATCCCACATGTTTCCCATATGTGGTAGTTTGTTGAAAGACCACAATAATTGGCAGCCTGTCCCATCAACAGATGGAGTCTATGCCCATTGCTTGAATCTAAACTGGCCCCGTGACTTGCTTTGACCAATAGAATGTGCGGGAAGTAGTCACGTGCTGGTTCTAAGGCTAGACCTCAAGAGGTCTTGTATCTCCTGCTCTCGCTGCTCTGGGAACCCTTCTCTCACCGCGTGAACCTCAGGTTAGCCTGCTGGAGGACAAGAAACCATCCTGGAGTAGAAGGGTCCCCCATACCAATCAGTCCACAGCTGAGGTGGCAGCTCCCTGCTGCCACTTAACTGATCCTAGCCAGGACCGGAAGAGCCACCCGGCTAAACCCAACCAACTGCCAACCCACAGAATTACGCACTAGATAACTATTTGCTGTTTTAAGACACTAAGTTTTGGGGTGCTTGTTACACAGCAAAAGCGAACTGATACACTATAAGAAGTCTAGATTGTAATTGCTAGACCTGCTCACATCAAGGTTGGCTCATGCCACCAGGTGACTTAGGCAATCTCAGGGAATACTGGTGTCTTCTTTATGAAGTTCTAAGTTAGGGAGCCCCTCTGAGTGATGGCACAAGAGACTGGAAGGACCCTGGGGAGTCCCACCACCTCATTCCACCATTAGGGAAACGGAAGTCAGAGAAGAGGCATGTTCACTTATTACACAGATGTTTCCTCTGCGCCTTCTATGGGCCAGGCTTCGTGCTGCATGGGGGTCGCAACAGTGAAAAAGAGAGACCAGGTCCCGCCTTCATGGAGGTCAGTGTCCAGAGTGGAAGTCAGATGTTAACCAAGTCATCACACATTTATGCAGACGACCATAAACAGTGACAAATGTCATGAATTAAAAGGACACGGTGAGAGAGAATGACAGGGAGAGGACTTAATTTGGATTTGGGCGTCACCAAGAGCTCTCTTGAGGAAGTGACATTTAGGCAAGCTGGTGGCAACCTTGAGGTGGGAATGCAAAGCTCTCCACACACACAGCAAGGTACCGTGGAGAGCTTTGCGTCCCAGCTGTGCAGGTTGGCGCAGGTCAACGCAACAGAAAGGCAGCTCTGCAGTGGCGCCGTAATGCTCTGATGGTCACAGGTCAGAGAAGGGGAATGGCATGGCAGCCCCAGCACGAGCACCCCTGCAGTGGCGAGGCAGGGGTGGGGATAGGAGTACAGGGCCCTGCAGTGGGGGCTTCCTCACTGCACTGGGACCACAGTATCTTCCCTCACTGGCAGTGCTCCTGGGGGGCCACAGGCCCATGTCTTACTCATCTATGCCCCCCACAGGACCTGTCACATAGTAGGACACATAAACGTTTGTGAAGTGATAGGCTTTCCCCAGCTGGAAAGTGTGAGCCCAGTCACCCAACTTAGACTGCCACAAACACCATGGCTGCATAGACAGGGGGTGGAAGTCAGTGCCACGGACAGGCGTCCCCCAGCTCCCCAAGTTTTGCAGTAGCTATGACTCCTTGGCTCCCCATCCAGCACCCTGAGCTGCTGCTGCCACCCTGCAGGCACCAATGCCTCATGGAACCGTCCTCCAGGTTGCCACAGCCTGCTGTGAGGACCCTCCCCGGTGACCCAGCCTGCAGCGAGGACCCTCCCCGGTGACCCAGCCTGCAGTGAGCACCCTCTCTAGCATTAGTGTCTGTAGTGAGGATGCTCCCAGCTGAAAGAAACCTTAATTTTCAGAGACCAGGCTCTCAGTGGGAAATCAGATTCCAGCTGGCATCTGGGACTCCCAGAGGGCCCGGTCGGGCTGAGGTCAGGGACAGTCTTGCCCAGGGATGACTCAGACCCCTTTAACACCAGGGAGGACCACACAGGAAGCCTTTGCTGTTGCCCCTTTCTGCCATGTCCACAACCCTCCCCAGTGGCATTAGACAACTCCAGGTGGGCAGGAGAACCCTGAATGCCTTTGCCCAGGTGGGTGGCAAGAGGCTTACAGCAGCGAGCGTGTGACATCTCTACTCATCGCTGCTGTTAATTTCTCCTCTGGGCATGGAGAATGTGGGCAACACATTTTGAGTTTTATTACATTTTTAATGATGCCCATTTTAAGCCAACAGCGGCCAGGTAGGTGATCTACAGAGAACACTATAGTTTGTCCCCTGTAAAGGGACTCAACTGATAGTTTTTATCCTTCTGAGAGAGGACAATAGTGGGATGTGCCCCCCACTCTGCATCTCACCCACCCCCACCCCCGGAGCAGCTTTGCTCCAGCTAGCCCAAGGCTAAAAACCCCTACTCAGAAAGGACGGGGCACCCACCTGGCTGGTTGATAGGAGCTCTGGGTTTCCGTCACTCATCCCCACGTAGGCACTGTCACCATCAAACTGGAACAGAGAGAGAGAAGCAACTCTGAGTAAAACGTTCTCAAGAAGGCCCCAGGAGAAGACGCCAGAGGAGGTCAAGGGGACTGAATGTGCTGAGGAGAAAGGAGAAGCAGCGAAGATAGAGCCCGGAGGCCCCAGTTCCCATTTCAGCGGGGCTCCCTCCAGGGTGGAGGAACAGCCCCAGTTCCGTGGCCCCTGAGGGGTAGCGCCATTCATCACACTGAGGATAAAGAGAGGAAAACCTTCCTGCCCTGTATCCCTTGTCCATAGATGTGGCAGGCTGCCTTGTCAGACACTGAGCTCCTCACTGCTGGAAGTATGCAAATATCCCTCTTGGCCAAAATGACATCAGACTCTCAGCGAGAGCTGGAATTCCATGTGATGGAGGGAGGCCAAGATCCCCGGAGCCTTGGGGTCATGACAGCTTGCCCCAGATGTGCCCTCCAGGTCATATCACCCCAAGTGGCTTTGCCCCCCCCCCGACATCTGTCCCTTAGGCCACTACTGGCCACAGGCAGGCAGTAAGGACTGTGGAAGAAACCATGCACAAGAACTACCGTCCTATGTTCTAAGAAGCTGCCACGTGTGGATTCAGGAAGATTTGCTTGCAAGAGGGAGCAGGTGTGGTGGGGAAAAGGTGGGCTCTGGGGCCACTGGCTGCCCTTTTCCCTGCAGTGTGGCCCTGAACTGGTGTCTGAACTTCTGAGGCTCCTCGTCTGCTGAATGGGGATAATGACATGGTCCCCTGTCCACGGGATGGCACACTGACACAAGCAGAGCACTTGGCTCAATTCCGGTTCGTTTCCCTCTTGAGACAGGTGTTGTGGGTCTTGCTCCCTAGAAGCAGAGCCCGAGACAAGGCTTCAAATGCATCTGGTTCCTGAGAAGGACTCTTGAGCAATAACCTTACAGGGAGGGAGGGACATAGGACAAGACAGTGGAAGGAGCTCAGCAAGGATGTGGTCTCAGCTGGAGGCCTGTTGGAGCCTGATCCCACGGGGAGCTCTGGGCGCGAACTAAACCAGAGTTAGTCCCAGCATGAAGCAAAAGGCTGGACTTTTGTCACCCACGTAAGTCAGCCACTGGCTGTGGGCTGTGAGGAGACAGGGGGAGGCACAACCTTCTGAGCAAGGTGGCCCCCTTTGACCAAGGACAGCGCGCTAGAGAAGGGTGCCAGCTGTGAGCCATTTGCAGGCAGTGCTCACAGCAGATGGGAGACGGCTGTGCTGGCCAGTACAGGGACCTGGGTGGGGCGCCAATGGCAGCTGGTCATTTGAATTGAGAATTTTAGTTTTTTATTACATTATATGCACACGGTTCCAAATTCCCAAAGTACACAAAGCAACAGTGAAAAGTCTCTTCCCACCCCATTGCCCTTCTCCAGAGGTAACCACGCATCTACCAGCTTCCTTCACATCCTTTCAGAGACGGTCTGGATGTATACATTTTATAGTTTCTCCTTTCACATAAATGACAGCATACTAGACACACTGTTTTGCACCTTATTTTTTCTCCTAGCAACACGTCTGAGAAAATCTTTTCTATCAGAACATAATGCTGTCTTCCGGTATCTGGCATACCACAGGATGGACAGAACATATATATTTAACTATTGTAGTTGAACACATGGGCAGTTGCTTTGTCCCTAGTGTTGTGCTAGTCCAGCATTGCTCCCATGAACAGTTTTGTACACCCATCATTCGCAGGGGTGTGAGTTTACTGTAGCATTAGTTTGTACAATCGCGGGGCCCAGCTGTGTGTGCATCTGTAACTTTGATATATCAATACATTGCCCAGCAGCTTTCATAGAGGTTGTAAAAATCCACACTCCCACAGTCAGGCACCAGGGGCCGGTTCATCCAGACCCTCTTCACTCAGACAGGCTGTCTTCAGCGACTGCCCAGATGCCAGACTCCCACCTCTGGACTGTGAGCTCCATCACTGCTGCCACCATTCCCGATCCCCTAGCCCTGCTCCACCTGGTTCTTTGTTCCACAGACCCTTTCACCTTCTAGCATCTATATAGTTTACCAAGTTCATTGCTTATAGTTGGGTTCCCCCTACTCAATGGAGGTTCCCAAACACCTAGTATAGGGCCTGGCACAGATTAGACACTCAATAAATGCTTGTGGATGGATGGATGGATGGATGGATGGATGATGGATGGATGGATGGATGGATAGATGAATAATGGATGGATGGATGGAGGATGGATGGATGGATGGATGGATGATGGATGGATGGATCGATGGATGGATGATGGATGGATGGATGCTAGATGGATGGATGATGGGTGGATGATAGATGGATGGATGGAGGACGGATGGATGGATGGATGGATGGATGGATGATGGATGGATGGATGAACGGATGCTAGATGGATGGATGGAGGATGGATGGAACCACCACCACACCATTCACATTGTCTTTTTTACCAGGCCAGTTTTCCCATCAAAGTAATGGAATTGGTGGTTACATCCAAGTGCCTTCTCAGCACAGGGATGAACAGAATCCTTCAGTGACTGCTGGACTAGCAAAAGAATAGGCCATGCCGTGCCTAGGACCTGGGCACTGACCCCAAATGCAGGGCTCCAGCCACCATGCTGCATCCAGAGCTCATGCTTCAAGGCCCTGTTCAGAGGCCACCTCCTCCTGGAAGCCTGCCATGCTGGCACCGCCTCTGGCTGGCCCTCTTACAACAAAGATTGTCTCCATAGCTGTCTTTTGCCCCTGTGTGAGAGCAATGTGGAGGCTGGAACAGTGTCGTGGTCATCTCCAAATCTCTCAGCTCTTGGCACAGGCTGGCATCAGGAACGGGACTATGAATTAGGCAGGGTGGGAAGCTTTCAACAAACGCTCCTGGGTACTACGTGATGTGTCCCTGTGGCCATGTATTACTTTGATACAAGTAAAACTTTTTTTAAAAAAATCACACACAATTTATAAGTATGTTCTAAAAGAAAGAACAATCGGAAATGGAGGGGGCTAGGTTTAACCAAGTATTTGAAACATTTATATGATAATGCAATAGTAATCAAACAGTGTGGTACAGGTTAAAAACATAGGAATATGTACCAAAGGAGGAGAGGGAAAGATGTCCCCAAAAGGCCTGTGTCATAGCCCATTTATTAAACGCTGGCTAGAACGGAGCCACCGCAGGTGGAGCCCTGTCTGCTGTCTCCCCCATTGCACAGGGAGACACTCAGCAAATATCCGGTGAATGAATGAACACACCTGGCACTGAGCAAAAACACTTTCCATAAAAGATCTCATTTAATCCTCACAACAACCCAAAGAAACAGGTGTTATTCCCTGTTTAAAACCAAGGAAACCGGTTGGGGAGGACAGGCAGTTGCCCAAGATGGCGCCGTGAGGGAGGGCTGGACAGTGAGTGAGAGGGCGATCTGTTTGCTTCTTCAGGTGGGTGTTTCGCACCTGGCTGTAAGTTCCTGGACAGCAGGGATCAGGCTCCGCTGCACCCCACACTGTACAACCAATAATCAGCCCTGCCCTGACACAGAATAGGTGTTTTATGAGTATGTATTAGGGGTTCAGGGAGGAAGGGCTTATCTGCAGTGAGCAGTGGGGAATGGCATTGGGGACACAAGGAAAGGAGGCCCTGGATTCTAATGTGTGTGTGTGTGTGTGTGTGTGTGTGTGTGTGTGTGTGTGTTGGGGGCTGGAAGGGGGTCGGGCAATGGGTCCCCCTGGAATCACCAGAGCCTGCCTCGAGTGAGCTTCTTCATTCACTCATTTATTCAAACAAGAAAGAGTTGCCACAAGCCAGAGTAAAGCTTGCTTCCGGCTTCCAAGAAGGTTCTCAAGGCAGGGCCTGGGTCAACCTCCATTTGGTTACCCCGGGTGCCTGGCACAAGTCCCGGGAGCACATTGGCTTGGAACTCGGCTATTGAGAGACCATCAACAGAGACCCACCTCTGCCCAGGGTTCTACCACGTCAGAGCCCTTGCAGGGGAAACAGAGGGAGAGCGGGGGACCCTGAGGGCTCCAGACTTCCCGTGGCTTTGCTTCTGGGGCACTAAAGCCTGGGGCTTCCCCCTCAGCCCTCCTCTTGGGGAGGGGGCCCTTTCTAGAGGAACACACAAGCCAAGGGGAGGTCACTAAGCCAGCCTCTGTGCTCAGACACAGCAGGGCCACCTTCTCCTCTGTGTGCACCAACAAGATGGTAAACACCCACACCTACACCCACCGCACAGCAAATACTGAGTGTGTGTGTGACCACAAAGGCATATCATGCCCAAGCACGGTGACAACATATGCGCCACAAACCAGTGGGTGTCAATGTCACACACAACACAGCGTTTGCAACAGCACTTAGTCACATGTGTACCACCTCCATGGGTAACACAAACCAACACAAACAAATGTGTTCACAGCACAAGCATGAGTGTGCACATATCACAGACCCTCTCCGGGGCTGGGTGCACCATACCCACAGCATGCACACACGAAAAGGAGGGGAGGCCCAGACGTGTATAAAATGCCATCTGCAGCTGTGTAAATAATACATAAATGCACACACAAACATACGCGGCAGGAGCATGTAGAGACATACAAAGCAAAGATACACATGAACTTGAATTCTGTGCACAGCTCACACTTTATCTGTCCCTCAGTCAAAACTCTTTTTTCACACCACGCAACCTTCCGTGCGCTTTAAAATGTGAAAAACAAAAAAATGTAGAGGCAAATGACGGCCTAAGAATTTCCATGAACTGCCTGAACATCCTCTTACCACCGACTGGAATAGATTAATTTTCCCCATTTCATATTCTAATTATAATTCCTTTTCCCATCGCCATCTTCCGTCCTCATTACAGCTGGAAGATTGTTCTGCAAAAGCCAGGCCTTCATCTTCTCTTCCCAAGAGTTTTGTCATGGAAATGAGTTTTGGAATCTGAAAGAACCCACATTTCTGCAAAAATCGAATGTATGGGGATAACCCTTTCATGACGGCCCACCAGGGACTTGGTTCACAGAGG